GTAATCTTCCAAAGTCACATCTGCGTCCAACATATATCTTCTGGTTGGTGGTTTCAACCATTTTGAAAAATATTAGTCAATTGGAAGGATTATTCCCAATATATGGAAAGTCCTAAATTCCCTGGTTCCAGTCACCACCAACCAGATCTTAAGATCTTAGTCGGATTCTCAACCAAAATGGCCCTCTCCCAACTTGCTGTTACCCTCTGGTAATTTAACATAACTATGGAAAATCACATTTTTTCATGGGAAAATCCACGAAATAAATGGCCATTTTCAATAGCCATGTTAGTTTACCAGAGGGTAATCGTCATTGTAATCATTACTGCTTGGTGGTTGAAAAACCATCTTGAAAAATATAATATTCATTAATATTCGTCAATGGGAAGGACTATCCCATATATGAAATGGAAAATAAAAACCACAGCTGAGGCCTTGAAAATACTTCACCACCACCGGCCAATCCGGACCGTTCACGTGCACGTTGACGATCCTGACCGTGGAGAAACTTCCATCAAGGTACCCCCCCTTTTTTCATCCAAGTCATTAAAGCATTTTGGTATGAAAACCCACGGTTTTTTGGATCCTCCATTTTAAGAAACCCCATATTATATATTATTATATATGTATATACATATATGATTATATATGAACAGAGAATTTGGGCTCTTAAATCTGATGAACACTCCTGAGCACTGATCAGCACCTTTTCACTCAGTCAGCTCGAAGGTAGCTGAAAGCACTAAAATGGCTAAAATGGCTGCAGCACATATACAAACATATGTACTACATGTAACATGGTCTATACTGTACACATATCTGATCACGCCTCCCGAGCCTGTTCGGAGGCACGGTGAGTCCAAGTGCTTTGAACTAGGCGAGTTTTGATATGTACAGCGGAGCATAGCCACGACTCAAGCCATCTATGCCTTCAGTGTCAGGTGATGTTCACCTTCCAGAAAGTGAAAGTTCATATTCCGCAGGGCTTTGTTCATCTTCTCCTCTATGACGGGTTTCGTCAAGACGTCGGCAAGCATATCGCCAGTGTCGACCTTCTTCAGCCGAAAGTAGCGCTTGGCAACGCGGTCTTGTACCCAATCGTATTAATTATCCACGTGCTTGGCCTTGCCTAATCCTCTACGTGAACCCATTGCTATTCCTGCACTTGCATCCATGAAAACTTCACTCTCAGGTTGCAAACCCCAGTCTTTGGCGGTTGAAACTTCTCCCAGCAAATTGCTGGCACCGCTCACAAGAGCGTAATACTCACTCTCTCCAGACGAAAGACTAACAACTCCTTGTCCTTTAGAATAAGTCTTGATACAACAACCTCCGGCCATCAGGACGCCTCCTGACGCGCTCTTCCTCGTCTTCACGCAACCAGCGTGGTCAGCATCAGACCACATCACAAATGGACTGAGTTTGCTCTGATGAGGAAAGAATTGTGCCATGCGTGGTCGATACCTGAGGTATCGTGCAACTCGTTTGAGCATAAGCATGTGGCTGGTAGTTGGTCGTTGTAGCCCTTGTGCTAAAGATCTTGTCGCTACTTGCAGATCTGGTCGGTCTTGTGCCAAATAAGCTGCTCGCATTGCAACTGATCTGTACTGGGTTGCTTCTTCATCATTGAGAAAAACAGTGGCGTTCTTGAGGTCTTCCACTGAACCCTTGGCAAGTGGTGTCTTGACTTTGGCTCCTCGGGGACCATCTCCGAGTAAATCAATCACCAACTCTGCATGACGTGCATCTGGTTCCCACCAAATTCCATTCTCCTTCCATGTGATAATTCTGTTCAGGACTCTGATGTCCTGGATGGTGTTTGGTGTTCCTGATGGTCCTAAAATACCACGTTCCACACATTTCCACTTCTTCGACAGCTCTTCATGAAGCCATTTGATGTTGTCAAATGTTCCGGCTGTTGTAAAATCATCTCCATGTACAACAGTTCTGAGGTCTCGGCCTGCATGGTAGTAAATGCATGGATTGCTTTTTCCTTGCTTGAAACCTAAGGCTAACATAACCTTCTGTATTTGCAACTCCCAGTTGAGAGGTGCGTCTCTGGTTCCATACAAAGACTTGAGCAATCTTCCTACCACAACTTCTCCAGGCTTCTTTGCTTCTGCAGGAAGTTCCACATAGATCTCACGCGTCGCATCTGAGTAAAAGTGGGCGCGTTTCACATCCAAAAATCCTAGAAGTCTATGCTTGCGATAGGCTTCCTTGACAGCTTTTCCAGCGTCTGGCAACTGAAACGTGACGGCTATTGTAACTAGCATCTTCAAAGCCGACAAACTGGGCATAGCTGCGAAGAACTCATCAAAACCTGAGCCCTTCTTGACTTCTTGAGCTACTAACCTACTTCTATAAAGTGGATTCTCTTCATCCTGCTTGTTGACATCTACCCATCGTGTTCCAATGGTGCGTACCCCTTTGGGCATCTTGTGTCTGGGAATCTTTTCCCAAACTGGAAAACTTTCGATGATTTCGACCTCATCTTTTCTGGCTTGTTCTACACCTTTGCTGTCTAAAATCTTTCCACTGATATCATCGTAATAATACCATGTGGCTGCTTCATATTCCAGTTCTGGTGGAAGAGGAATTGTCTCTTCACAAACTGGCTCTTCTTCACCTTCAATGGACTGAAGGTACTTCTCCCGATCTTCCATGATCAGGTTCATAAGACATTGGTCTATATCATCCATGTCTTCTGGTCTCTCATTCTCAGGTGGCCGTTTGGTGCCCTTAGACGCCTGAGCTGAAGCAGCTCGGCTGTCCTTGGACTTTGACGTTTCGCCTCCTGAGTCTGCAGGTCTTTTCCGACCTTTGGTTGGAGACATTTCCAACCTTTTGTGTGTTCTTTCTTCTTGCTCGCCTCCTGCCCTCTTGGCTGAGGCTGTGCTTGCGCTTGCGCTTTCTGCAGGTGGATCTGCAGCTTGTCCGGTAGCAGGACTCTGCCTCGCGATAGCAGGTCCAGCTGTTGGCAAACTTGGAGCAGATTCCCCTGTGGCTGAGTACCACAGTTCAGTGACGATATCTGCGTCATCAATCAAAGGCGCGTTGATGACTTCATCTCCTAAACTAGGATCCATTGGTTCAGACTTGATAATGTTTCCTGTTTTGAAATCTCTGGTGACTCTCCACCAGACATTATCCCAACTGGGACCTTCTGGCATAGTACCCTTGAGATACCTTGCAT